TACATATGTTTCATATCCTTATCTTCTCCAGTTAGTCATTTTGTCTGACCATTTTATTTGATCTTTTTTTCCATTTTGTTTTTCATCTTTATGTTTTCAGTTTCCATAAATGTGTTTTCCGTGTTTCTTTTACCCTCAGCATCTTTTCATTTTGTCTTCGCATCTGCTATGTTTGTGGTCATGGTGGTGTTCTAACCCCCACCTTGGGTTCTGCTTTACTTCTTTCTGTTGTCTGGTTATCACCTTCTATTGTTTATTCTTTGAGTTCTTTTATTTATTTGTTCTTTTCTGTCTGCTTTTGAGGTATCCCTTTCTGGTAGTGCTTGTCTTATGGTATTCAATTATAATTTTCATCTGCTTTATGGCAACATTGTTCTAATAAGTTTTCTTTACCTATGGGAGGGTTTTGTTGTTCTTTTTCACCTCTTTTTTCCATAAACGTCTTCACATGAATGCTATGCTTTTGTCTTTTTTGTTACTCACTTCTTAATTAGTTGAATCTTCCCTGACTGATTATTTGAAGGAGAATGGGAGGGGTAGCTGTGGGAGCCTTGGCCAATGTTGCATTTCATACTAAGTCAGGATCTTTCTCTCCCTAGCTACAATAATAGGCTGTTGCCCTCTCTAATTGCACTGTGAAATGGCTATGCCTTCTCTGTCTCTTTGACTTTATCTTGTTTAGGATGGGGGAGAGGGGATTCTAATGCTGAGCCTGTGTCCTTCTATTTCCCCTATTAGCTCCTATTGGCATCTGTCACTAAGGGAAACCTTTCTTCTGGTGTGACCCCTTCACTTTTAGAAGGTGTGTGTTTGCTAGCACTCTCTAAGATCTGCCTCCTCCAGGCCCACTTGGGCACTTACTCATGTACTTTCTCTGCCTTCTCCAGGCCTTGGACTTTGCTCCTTCCCAGTCAGGTTAGCACTCTTTCATTCTGTAGCGCTCACATTCTGGGAGTATTCTGACTGGAAATTTTATTAGGCCACCTTAGTACTCCTTGCCCTCCCTGTTCTCCCCAGTTAAATATATTTGAGATTTTACTCTTTTTAGGTTTTTTATGTATGGCATTTTTTTTTACTTAATATTTTGTTCATAAAACAGGCAATACCAAGAAGCAAGAGAAACCTACCTTAATCTGGATAATAAAGTAAGAACTTTAAAAAGGTTTATTAAATTGCTGGAAGAAATAATGACCCATAGATATAAAACATATCAACAATTTAGAAGG